CACTTTCTGTCTCATCTTTCTTACTCTAGCTCACAGTGAATCTTTCCCCATAATTGCCAATTGATTTAGCATCTGTACAATGACATTAATTTTCTCGCTACTTGTTCCCATTTCTACTTTACACAGTCTTAAGTAACATAAAATGAGACTGGTTTTTGTCTCGGATTTTTTTGTTGAATATTTAGTCAGTTGGATGATGGCTGATGGGTTGTGCAATTTCCCCATAGGACTGGTTCATGAAATTGCTCATCATTGCATTAGATAGAATCGCTCTTGTATGTAAAGAAGATTGCCCTGTTCAGGAAACAGTTTTCATTATCTGGATCTGCTATTGCTGCTCATGTTGATAAATTCTCTTTCTGTACCAAGATGTGTATGTGTTGTCCCTTGTATCGGTTGCCTTTTAACTGCCTGTGATGATAGATCCATCTGGGGCTTGCGGGCGGGGAAGATTACTTCTTGTTTCTTTTTAATAAATGCAGGTGAGTCAGCCACTCAGGCTCCAAAATTGGTCCTTGTTTTTTAAGGACCTCCAAGTACAGATTGATTTCAAACGGTTCACACATGTGCAAGACTAGCTGAGAAAACTCATGGGGAGAAAATTTGTTTTGTTTTGTTTTGTTTCATTTAAGTGCTAGCAGTTGAACTTAGGAGCCCAACAAGAAGTACTAGACAAAATGTCTTTCTTGGGATATGTCCTCCTCCGTCTAAATCTACTGTTGGGGCCATGAAATACTTTGAGCGGCTCAGAACAAAAATAGAACACCAGGTAGTGGTCATGTCATTAATTATCCTGTTTTTGCTGCTGGAAACTAGAATTGTTTGAGATAGGGTTCAGATGAGCTCCCCTGACTGGAGAAGTGTTACCCAGCCCGAGGATAAGCCACATCAGAGTGTGAGCATGTCAAGCAAGGTGGCAAGTTCATAACCATAATGTTAAATAATATAATGTTATGGCCTACAGTAGAAGCATATGATACTATGTTATAAAAATAATCTGATATGTCCTAGTTTGGTATCTTTCCATTTGCCTTTGATAGAGTGTGTCAAAGTTAAGCCTTTGGAACCTAAAACCCAAATTAAGACTTGAGAGTCTCCTGAATTCAGTGGCAAACAAAAATCGGCCAACTGAGTTGAGAGACACAGGGCAGGTACAAAAATGGTGTGACCACGAGGACATGACATGCTACACTTGGCCTCCTGATCCACTTGTCAAAGAGCCACCTGATGCACCGCTGCGTGTATGTCCTTTCCACTTTCGGGGGTCCATCCGGAAATGGCGTTAAATAGTAAGTGATAGCATAGGATCTGCAACCTGCCAGGTGCAGCTGGTTTGAATTGTAGCTCTACCGCTAACTACCTGTGTGTACTCGAGTTACTATGTATAACTCAGAGTCTCCATTTTTCCATCTGTGAAATGGGGATAAAACCATTACCTATGTTCATATGATGTTTAAGATTACACAGTGATAATGATGTACAACACGCACTACCTGGCCCTGGCCAAGTGCTCGTTTAATATTGGTTATTAACTTGAAGCCCCTAAACGATGTAAACCTTCCTAACAGGAAAAGATTGCACCTCTAGAACTCCCCCAGAAAATCATGTATGTTTTATTGCCTTGAAAGTTCATAGCTTGCTAGCCATATTTTGCAGGCATTTATAAATGTTACCCTTCTAGTGTATATTGTGGTTTAAAGGTAGTCGTCAATAATTCCAGAGAGAAACTTAAGGGGTATGTGGCCTAAATTCTGTGGCTTTTAATGGGCTCAGTGGTCCCCAGGCTCAGAATTGAGAGAAGCTGCTCCTTTCCTCCAGGTCGGTTATACTCGTGGCATCTTAGTTATTGTTTGCCCCCAAAGTGCTTGGTGCTCCGTCTTCTGTTCTTGGAGCTGAGAGGGGACTTGGTATTCAGAAGCCAGTGGAGTATGGCTCCAGGGTAATTGGCAGAAGGGGGTCCGTTTTAGGGGGTCCTACTTTACCACTGTGGCCTGGAAAGTTCCCAGCACAGGGCATACAGCCTTCTCTTTTTCCTTTCACTGTGTATATGGCATACCAGAAGTTTCATAGTGTGACTCCTTCACTTCTGCAACATCAATACAAATAGGTCATAAAATGTGAATCAGACTTCCCCCTAAATACAAGTCCTCTCAGGATACTAGCAAATTAACCTATGGCTATTTCCTGAGCCAATAATTAGTTACCCTCCCATGGGTTGAAACACCACGGATGCAAAATGCCCTTGGTTTCCCGTATTAACTTCCTCACTTTATTTTGGCGAAATTCAGGAAATTTTGAAATTAAATGATTTCTGAACTTGCGCATTATTAAATGTCAGAGTAAAATCGCCTGCATGCCGCATTCTTTCCATGCACAGTTTCAATTTCCAGAAGCTAATTTCTTCCTTCTAATTACCTGTACTCCAAGAAGAGCTAGTTTTTACAACCCAGCATGAGAGCAAGTAACTCCCGTTTGTTCAGGCTGACATGAATGCGGAGGCTTCCTGAATCGACCTGAATACAACTGCTTAAGGCTCGAGATAAATGGTCCCTGTTCTGTCATCATCATCATTGTTATATTATCAGTGCTAAGGGTCACTAGGGAAATGGTCTCCCGATGGTCAGACCCTATGCTTGATGTTTCCAAAGGAATCTTGCCCTGGTGATAAGTAACATAGAAACTTATTTCGTTTCTTTTTCTTTTCCTTTTTTTTTTTTTGTTTTGTTTTCTATAAAGAATAATATTTCAAATGTGGACGTTTTAGCTGTGTGTTAAATGTTATTTTAAACGCATTAGGTTGATTTAGACATATTTATCAAATCCAGGTGTACTTTTAGGTATCTTGCTGTTTGCTCATGAAAAAACAAACAAAACAAAACAAAACAAAAAAGCACGCGCGTCTATTTGAGAGGATTCTGCTGTACCATAAATAAGTGGCTGGAGAGTCTTGCAAGACTGGGCTTTTCTGTTGTTGCTTTTTGCCCCTCACCCAAAGAACTACCCTGGGAAAGAGGAGATGAGCATTACACCTCAGGCAGATCAAGAAAAACATGGTGACCATAGTGTTCAGAATTATCCCTTGACTCTTTTCCTAATTTTTCTGACAATGGTGCGAGCACTCTACTGAATTATTATGTGGATTCAGTATCAATCAGCAAAGGGCCAAATCATGCTATTTGTTTTAGAAGCGAAACTTACCCACCTCCTGGGCCCCATCCTACAACCTCCCTCCCTTTCCAGAATTTTGTGCGTTATTAGGTTCTAAACTTTGGTTTGGTTCCTAACAAGTGTTGTGTAAAACCAAACAGAAATAAATCTGGTTCCCTTGTTCTTACGTTCTTAAAATTCGTGAGGTTGGGTTTCAATTTCCTTAGTATACGTTACGTTGTGAATGCAACCTTACAAAACAGTCTACATCCAATCTCACTCCCTCTTTGGAAATGGCAGTACTGTCTCTCTTATTTTTAATCTAAGGGCATAGCGAAGTGGTATCGGAACTCTTTAGTACTTTTCTCTCCCCATCTCCTTCATGTTTAAGCCACCACATGGGAGCCGTGGCTCAAAACTTAGCAGAATGTTGTACTGTCTACCACTTCTTGATGGCTTATTTCGCACCAGGAACTAGGTTAAGTACATGGCGTCACTTTCATTCAATCAGTACAATGAAGTAAAGTAGATATTAGCATCCACATGCTAAATGGGGAAGCTGAAACCTTGAGAAGTCAATTTCACATTAAGTAGGAAATGAAAAGGCCAGAATCTGATCACTGGATCCCCTCTGCAGGGAGTTCACTCTCAAAAACATGTGTGTGGCAAATGTGATGGGGAAACACAGTATAAAGTAAAGTAGTGTGCTGTTCCATCATTGAAAATCAGCTATAACTAAGATACCAGGTTTTCCCTCTGCCTGGGAGATGCCCACGTCCATCTGCGCACATGTGGGGGGCCATAGGGATTACCACGTGCTCCTGTCATACGTCAAGGAGGGTAGCAAATTATCATTCCCCTCCCTTCAATGTTCTGACCCAGGCTTGGCAAATATCCTTCTAAAATTAAGGTGGAGGACGAGAAACAGAATTAGCTACCCAGGCTGCGTGATAACTGCCATATTTCCCAGTTAAGTAAAAGACTATAACACCTGACATTCGAGACTAAAATGAAGAGGTATCTTGATGAGAATTTCATGCGTGCATTGAGTCAAATGCCTTCCAGTGTATACATACTCTTTGAAAGAGAACAGAAGTCTGTGCACCTGTAACTGGATTTGCTTTCTATATGTTTATGAGTGGTATTGTGGTTCTCCAATGAAAGGGACTTCTGCTCAATGTCTTTGTGCTCTTCAGTGCTAACAATCACAAGAAGTAGGTATCCAATAATTTATTATAATAACTACTTATTGCAGATTAAGGGTACCCCCATAGCTGTGTCTTGGAGCCCAGCTTTGAGCTCTGTACCGAATTCTCTTTGTTTGAGAGCATTGACACCTGGGGACTCGGTTCAGTTGAGGTTTTTTTCTATATCCCATACATACACGCAGAATACTAAGTTCTTTGTTAAATTACAAATCAACTACCTGGCGATACAGCTGGACGAGGAATGTTCCAGAAGACTTTGGTTTTGACTTTAGGTGATAGTAATTTTCAGATGTTGATGCAAGCTTTTACACAAAGGACGACCAGGCCAGAATTGGGAGCCATTTTGTTGAGGAAACTGGAAATCCTCACCCTTTTAAAAAACTGAGTGACAGCCGACTAATCCCACATGATTTCCGAAATTCAAGGTTACATTTTCTGCCTCCCTCAGACTAACGTCACTTCTCCATGTTGAGAAAGAACCAGAGCGGCATTTGGCTTCTGTTCACCCCCAAACCCAAATCACTGACCCTTTGTTTTTAGTACTTTGCCATTTTGCTTTTGCTTTTTTAATTTGCTTGTGACTCTCTGCTTCCCCCATCTTTTTTTTTTTTTTGGTACAATGATTCTTACCTTGTCTTTCCCCAGTCCGTTTCTGACCTGGAGAGACGTGCAGCATGTTATTGTCAGGACTTCCCGTGCGGGACATTTGAACGCTAATGACTGGAAAACCAATGCTGCTGGTTTTAAGGGTGAGAACTTCTTTCATATTCTGTCACAGGCAAAATATTTTTATTTTTCCCCCATTTTAAATGGAGAGCCGGAAGTAGAATCCCTCCAAAGAAACTTGAAATTGTGTGCTGACACACAGAGCTGGCTCTTTGAGTAACTAAAACGCAGATTGATTTTTTTTCTTTTTTAAATTCAAACAGCACATAAAAGGCAGATTTCTTTGGCTTCCCACATCATAGGTCAATTTCTTAAAAGACAACCAACTTCCAAGTATAGTCGACCTATGGGGCTTCTCATTAGTTTGTGATTGCTGTCATTGGTTATCTGAGTGGTGTTTGTCACGATGTGTGTAGAACGTACTCATCTTCTATAGTGATTACTTCCATTTCAGTAATGACTGGTGTATTTTGTTCACTGTTAGTTCCTAGCCATGCTTGCTTTGTTTTTGTTTTTTATTAAAATTCCACAAACAGCTAACTCTAAGACATTACTTTATATGAATGAAAAGTGCTTCTGAAGCTTTAAAACATACAGTCTTTATACAGTTATGCACATCATATCGTAAGTGCTGCCTGTTTTTCCCATGGCTGAGGATTATAGTTCCCTCAAAGTGTCTTACTAATGGTGGGCAGTTTGTTTATCATCATCCATAACATACGTTATAATAAAAAAATTACTTATATAAGGCAGATGTCCTAAAGTTTCACATGACTTAAATTTTAATCCACTAATATTGTTACAGCAAAGATTACTCTTGGTCATATCTGCAGACTTAAATTTACTCCCAAGTAATGTTGGTATCATTATATATCCCTATGGATGAAAACGAGTATCCCGTACCACAGGGAATAGCGACTTAATAATTGAGGTTCTGGTCCCCAGATCTTTGGTAACATGTCGAATCATTCTGGGCAAGTCATTTAAGTATTTTGGGCCCTAACTTCCCCATCTTAAACATTTTAGAAGCTAAGTAATATTACCTACATATGATTTCTTAAATATGATTTTAATACATCTTTAGTGAACTATACCCAGTGTATGCACATATCCATGCCGGAAATGTAAAATGTAATTTTTAAAATTACTTGCAATTATAGTCTCATGCTTAGCCAAATATACCAGATAACCAGTGTCATATAAAGTATTTCTTTGGTTAGCGTCTTCACTGAAGACTTCACTCCATGTTTAGAAAAAGAAGAGTATCCCTCTGCTTTTGAGTAGTATGAGACACCTCTCCTTACTCTTAGACTATATAATGCAGCAGTGTTCAATGAGCTTTTAATATAAAGAGTTGTAAATTCTTTTTGGGATCGCACTGTTTGAAGCCCAAATCAAGACACTTGATCCCAAAATTGCAGTTGTTACGCGTGGCATCAAAAATATGTGAAATTTCAGTTGTTGGAGAAAACCCAGGATGTACTTTGCCATAGGTGTGTTTCATTTTGATTTAGCCTCCGCACCCTCCCAGCTCTTACTGTCTAAATCCATGAGGCTGGGAGGTGGGTCTGGGGAGGGGTAAGAAGGGACCAAAACATAACCTTGGCTGGTTCAGTGCGCTGCAGTGAACTTTTTAGCAGAAGGTTCACAGACTTAAGTACATTGACCTCCATGAAGCTGAGGAATCAACTTTAACCCAAATAAAAGTCTTAGTTTTACTTATTCCTTTTTGGCAAGTTAAAAAGAGCAAATGGTTCTAATAAAAAACGCAACTCTTTTGAAAACCTCTGTTGGTTTTGGAGAGGGGGGGAAACAGAGGATTTAGACTAACTCCCCAGGTCCCAACCTGAGTCTGAAGGGGGCTATGAAGTGCTCTGGCAAGGAGGAAAGAGCATTTTACTCTTGCACGTGGCAATATTTAGTATAATATTTCACTCTTCTCTTAGCTTGCTGCCAAGACTAACAATTAAAGTTCGCTTTTTCATAGATGAATTACCCTGAACAGTCTGGATTCCCAGTGGAATTGTTTTGTAATTTTGTTGGTGGCAAGCCCCATATTTCATCTAAACATGATCATAATAAGAATAATTTTTTAAAGAGCTATATTCTTCCCTACCCTAAGCATTACCCTCCCCTCCCTAGTGTCCCACAAATAAAAGTGATTAAGGCAGAGGCTCTGAGGAGAAGCCACGTGCTTTGGGAAAGGAGAGGATGCAGGTCACTGGGGTAGAGCAAAGATGGGTGACTTTTTATGAAATAAGAACTGAACTAACAAACAAAAATAGCTAATGCTTGGAAGGGCTTCATGCAACAAGAGCTCAGCGAGAGCTCGTATTTTAAATTAGGTCAGCCAGCTTTTGCAGGCCTCGCTTGGCAGGAACACAGGGCCACACATTTCTCCTTAGACAGGAGAAGCCGGAAGTTGCCTGTGAACAGGAGCCCGTGGTCATGGCTGCTCTCTGTCCTAATGCAGAGTGAGGTGTGTGCCTGACAGGAATCCCAAAGCATCTGGGCTCCCCGGGGCTTGCTTTTGTGCCCTTAATGTTGAGCAATTTAAGTTGTTTGAAGAGTGTTTAAAAAACCAACCAAACAAACAAACAGGAAAACCTGAGAAGAGTTTCAGATTGCTGGGTGGGTGCGCTTCTGCACTGGCGATGTCAATATCAACATGAGCATTTCCTTCTCTCATCAGGTAAAGCAGAAGCAGCTGAGAGTAGCAACCAATTCAGTATGGGGGTCTTGTCATCGATACACTTGATAGTCATCACTGATAATTTCAGAGAAGCCAACACCCTGAAGAACAATTTCTCACCAGACCCTGCCAAGTCCTGACATTTCTGCATGCACTGTCCTTACATTTCTTCAGACAGAACCATATGTACTGCAGCTCAGGCAGAGAGTAGAACCAGATGATCTAGCAGCTAGACCGGTGGGGCCTCTCAGCAAGGAGGACTCGATGCATTCTAATCCACATGCGTTAGGGACCTGGAAAATGCAAGTGAGTCCCTCCAGGAGCAGCTTGCTGACTTCCTGTTGACGGCACAGGCAGGCTCTCATTCAGGCGAGGTTAGCCTTGAAAAACCAAAGAATGTGGCTCTCTGCTGACTCATCTGTGTGTTTTCTCCGAGGAAGGGATTACCCTGGAGTTGCATGCTGATGAGCTGGGTGCACAGAGTTTCCTCCTCTTTTTCTGTGTTCTCATAGTAACATGCTATAAACGATTGGATAGTTAGATTAGCTCACGGTGAAGGGAGTCCCAAAGCTGGAAGCTACTCATCAATATTTTTATGCTAATGATACCTCAATTTTTAACAATTTTAATTGAACTAAGATGATTCTCTCTGCTTCATAAATAATAATAATCTTTTCTAGTATAGTTAAAAGGTCTTTTGCTGAAGATCTGTTTTTCAGAGTAAACATAGTCCAATGAGTACATACGTATGGAAACTGACTAAACATTATTATTTGGATGGTTCATTGTGTATTGAATAATTTTGGCTACATTTCATACACATTTTGACTTTAAACTTTCTCCAGAGATAGTTTCTTTAAAAATAAATGGAATAAGTATCATGCACTTATCAAAGAATCTCCTTGAGGTTATTCATGAGGATAGGAAAGTATTTGTATGAGGCCAGATGAACAGATGTGATATTTGCCACTAGAAAACTGAAATCCGAATTCCCGTATTTTGCTACTGATCAGCATTTGCAATGCCGGCAGATGAGTTTGGCATTAAATCATTTATTTGGTTTTTTTCCCAGTGTTATTTCCTGCTCCTTTGATGCCTTCCCTTCCCTCTTATGAAAAGTCTTCTCTAGTTTTTTTTTTTTTTCTTTTCTATGCTTTTTAATACCCCGTCCATGCTCCTTGAAATGCACAAATCAGCTGTAGAACAAGCAAGGGCTTTTTGCCATTTGAGTAGTTTTCTTCACAGAACTTAATTTATGCAGTCTCTTCATTTATTTATTTACAAATACTTGCTGAGCACCTTCAGCACGCCAGCCCAACACATGAAGTGTTCCCAGAAAGGGGAAGCGAAAGGAAATGTCAGGGCGGCCCCATGGCATTGCCTACTCTGATCTGGTCATGGTTTGATTTATGTACAGAAACAGAAATTTACACTGCACTTTTCTTCCCTTCCACCAAGCCCAAACGATCTGCCAGGTCATGTTTATAAAATGTGTCGATGCAAATTTCCCTGGTCATGGCAAATGCAGCCTAACCTCAGCAGGAAAAGGCATCTGATGTAGCGACTATCTTTTGTGGCGAGTCACGGATATTTTGACCAGCTCTGTTTGTACATAGAGGATACATGGACCAACCCCGCCATGCTGAGGACTTTCATTCTGCATTCTTCTAGAATCCATGGCTCCTATATTTCAGGAAGCACTTAGCTCTTTGTGATGATCCCCTCTGTTCTGCTTTAATCTGTGGAACCCGCAAATCCACCGCCCCCATCCCCCTCAGTTGCCTGGGCTGTGCCCTGCAGGCTGATCCTCCCCGCCTCGCCTCCCTCCACCCCACCACCCCCCAGTTCATACCTGTGGTTTGTGGATGCACTTAGAAGTACAATTGAATGCATGCAACATCGATGCTCTAGTTTTTTTCAAAGTGTCTGTATTTGGATTATATGACTGTATACAGTTAAACTCTCTTAAATTTAGGAACAGGAATAGACATCAGATAATAAATTAGGACCTTCTGTCATCTTTACTAGGCGAAAGAATGAAAAATATGTCATTGAAAATCAAAAATGACAACTAAGTGAGCGAGGTTACCACGCCTTCCATTTCACTGCCCTCCCAGACTATGTAAGTCTCTCTTTTTCTACCAGCATGTTGCTGAAACCTCCCCATCCCCACTGACTTTCTTTGACCATCACTAAACTACTAGACTTTTTTTTTTTTTTTAATTTCTAACTGATTTCCCACCACGGGAAAACAATTGACAGTCTAACATGACTTCTTAGCCTCCAAGGCCCTAACTATTAATAACCTTTATTACCTTTAATTGCCATCATTTTATTTCCACTGGTAAGGCTGGTAATTTTAAGATGTTCCAATATATTTTTAATACCTAC